CAATCTGGCAATAGGCAGTGACATCCATGCCACACCACAGACCAAAATTTTGGACTCTGCATTATGAAAAGGGTTCTGCGCCATAACTGATCCTACCCAACACAGAGACAGCGTCTTCTTTTTATCAATTTCTCTGTGTTTTAATAGTAACTAAGAATGCACAGGAAGATAACTTATCAATAGTTATAAATGTGACCCGGTTTAGGGTAGTTTATGTAGAAATAGCTTTGCAATGGTTGGTCTTCAACTAAGTTTAGACCTACTGAAGTCAAGGGACCCAGCTTAGTCCTGTTGTTAATTTCATTCCCCCCCCCCCAAAAAAAATTACTCATTTTATAACACAAATAAAGAACACATACAGAAAAGACAAGCAATACAAACAAATTCTTGTCATATCCTTATTTTTCTAAACATTGTTAGGTGGGCTTCCCCAAGTCCCACCTATCGGATTTTCATTTTACTTCATCTTTAGCAGTTTACATATATCACAATTTCTAACCATCTTCCCCCCCCCCACACACTTACTTTAACCATAAAAACTTCACATTTTATCACTTATAAAATACACTAAGGGACGCGGGTGGCGCTGTGGGTAAAAGCCTCAGCGCCTAGGACTTGCCGATCGAAAGGTCGGCGGTTCGAATCCCCGCGGCGGGTTGCGCTCCCATTGCTCGGTCCCAGCGCCTGCCAACCTAGCAGTTCGAAAGCACCCCCGGGTGCAAGTAGATAAATAGGGACCGCTTACTGGCGGGAAGGTAAACGGCATTTCCGTGTGCTGTGCTGGCTCGCCAGATGCAGCTTTGTCACGCTGGCCACGTGACCCAGAAATGTCTCCGGACAGCGCTGGCCCCCGGCCTCTTGAGTGAGATGGGCGCACAACCCTAGAGTCTGTCAAGACTGGCCTGTACGGGCAGGGGTACCTTTAAAATACACTATCTTCTACTTCTAACCCTACCGCCTATCTCCACTTCCAAAGCTATTCTAAGATTTAAATATTAACATATTTTTTCAAATATTCCTTAAACTTCTTCCAGTCTTCTTCCACCGTCTCTTCTCTCTGGTCTCGGAGTCTCTCGGTCAGTTCCATCTGTTTGTTAATTTCAGCGGTTGCAATGTACGGGCACACATTTTGCTCAAAAGGTTGAATAACCCAACTGTGCAGGAAGGAAGGAAAACGCCTCAGTTCAGGAAGATCCCTAAAAGCTTCCCGTGTGAATGCGAGCGATAACACCGGCCCTGCCATCTCCTCTCTGCGCCCTGGTTTCTCGGCCACCCTCTGGCTCTAGATGACCCACATTCGGTGCCAAAAATACTCTGACCTTTTCAGAACCCCCTGCAGGCCTGGCAACCTCTTGGGTGCCCCAGGGAGGCTGGTGTGTTCTGTGTCTTGGAGAGAGGAAGGAAGGAAGGAAGGAAGGAAGGAAGGAAGGAAGGAAGGAAGGAAGGAAGATGAGAGCCTATGTGGTTCGGAAACTTCAGCTGGTGCAGAATTCAGCGGCCAGGTTGCTCACCCGATCAAGACAGTCTGAGCATATTACTGTCGGTTTGCAAGCCCCCTCCACAGAGGCTGGTCCCACTTACTGTCCTCGGAGCTTGCATACCGGTAACCTCCTCTGGCTGATATCCAGACAGACCAGGGAAATTTTGATAGGCGACATTTTCCTAAGCGTGGGTAAAATGCACAACCCCTTCCTCCTGCTTCCGCAGGGGAAAGAAAATAAGTCAGAAATCTATTAAATAACCCAATAGATTAAGATGAACTTTAACAGGGAGAAATGTAAAGTATTGCACTTGGGCAAAAAAAATGAGAGTCACAAATACAAGATGGGTGACACCTGGCTTGAGAGCAGTACATGTGAAAAGGATCTAGGAGTCTTGGTTGACCACAAACTTGACATGAGCCAACAGTGTGACGCGGCAGCTAAAAAAGCCAATGCAATTCTGGGCTGCATCAATAGGAGTATAGCATCTAGATCAAGGGAAGTAATAGTGCCACTGTATTCTGCTCTGGTCAGACCTCACCTGGAGTACTGTGTCCAGTTCTGGGCACCACAGTTCAAGAAGGACACTGACAAACTGGAACGTGTCCAGAGGAGGGCAACCAAAATGGTCAAAGGCCTGGAAACGATGCCTTATGAGGAACGGCTAAGGGAGCCGGGCATGTTTAGCCTGGAGAAGAGGAGGTTAAGGGGTGATATGATAGCCATGTTCAAATATATAAAAGGATGTCACATAGAGGAGGGAGAAAGGTTGTTTTCTGCTGCTCCAGAGAAGCGGACACGGAGCAATGGATCCAAACTACAAGAAAGAAGATTCCACCTAAACATTAGGAAGAACTTCCTGACAGTAAGAGCTGTTTGACAGTGGAATTTGCTGCCAAGGAGTGTGGTGGAGTCTCCTTCTTTGGAGGTCTTTAAGCAGAAGCTTGACAACCATATGTCAGGAGTGCTCTGATGGTGTTTCCTGCTTGGCAGGGGGTTGGACTCGATGGCCCTTGTGGTCTATTCCAACTCTATGATTCTATGATTCTATGATTCTATTTACATGATGTTTATTTCTGACATTACAGCACTAGAGAAAAACACGGCCTTTCAGTTCAGTTCTTCTAGCACGTCTGACAAACTTCCTGAACATGCGCAGTCGGAAGGTTTCAAATTACACTCTTCACAAAGACTAATCCAGCCTGTGAACGTCCTGGGAAATTCTTCTTTCCCACAGATAGGCGCATCAAGTGATGTCAACAATCTGGCTGTATGCAGCAGTGATGTTTCCATATACTGACATCTACATCGATCCTGGTCCGACTGCACTGGCTACCAATTTGTTTCCGGGCCCAATTCAAAGTGCTAGTTTTGACCCATAAAGCCTTAAATGGCCCAGGACCGCAATACTTCAAGGACCGCCTCTCTCCATATGAACCTACCCGGACCCTGAGAGCATCTTCTGAGGCCCTCCTTCATGTGTCTCCTCCTCAAGAGGTCTGGAGGCTGAAAGATGTTTAAATATACTTTCCCCAAAAAAACGGAAGCATTTCTGCTGGGGTTGATGGGGCAGAAATTGACCTCGCTGATGGGGTCCAAAGGAGAGAGAGGTTGTAGAGAAATGGAATTCAGAATATATATACTGTACCAATTGTGTAGCAGCTATAATAACAATGACAGTAACAGTAATTTATTTATACCCCACCCATCTGGCTGGGTTTCCCCAGCACTCTGGACAGCTCCAACAGAATATTAAAAACACAATAAAGTATCAAACATTAAAAACTTCCCTAAACTGGACTGCTTTCAGAAGTCTTCTAAAAGTCAGGTAGTTTATTTCTTTGACATCTGATGGAAAGGCGTTCCACAGTATGTTTCTGAGCACAATTTGAAGCGTTAAAGCCCTAAACGCCCTCGGCCCAGTATACCTGAAGGAGCTTCTCCACCTCTGCCTGGTTCCCTGTAACTTGGCTTCTCGCAGCGAGGGAACCGCCAGAAGGCCCTTGGCACTGGACCTCAGTGTCCGGGCTGAACGATGGGGGTGGAGACGCTCCTTCAGGTATACTGGACCGAGGCCGTTTAGGGCTTTAAAAGTCAGCACCAACACTTTGAATTGGACTCAGAAACGAACTGCATGCTGAACAACTGCAACAAAGTTTTGCAGCGTCAGATGCCGCTGTTCACAGTCCATCAGACACACATCTTCCAGGATGTTCCATTCCATTTCTCTTGCTACAGGTTCTCCTGTACAGTCATACCCCGTGTTGCGTTAGGTTCGTGTTGCGTCTTTTCAGCTTGCGAACGCAGCAAACCTGGAAATGTATACTTCCGGGTTTCACTGAGCGCATGCAGAACCGTTCTGCACACTTCGCAGATGCACAGAAGCACTCTGTTGCGCTCCGCGTTTGCGCAGAAGCGCAGCTGTAGTTGGGAACTTTTTGGGGTGAGAATGGCACCCCGGAACAGATCGTGTCCACAACTAGAGGTACCACTGTATGCCAATAAAGGAGATAGATAGATGATAGATAGATAGATATAGATAGATAGATAGATAGATAGATAGATAGATAGATAGATAGATAGATAGATGATAGATAGACAGACAGATAGATGATAGATAGATAGATAGATAGATAGATATAGATAGATAGATGATGATGATAGATAGATAGATAGATAGATAGATAGATAGATGATAGATAGATAGAGATGATAGATAGATAGATAGATAGATAGATAGATAGATAGATAGATAGATGATAGATGATAGATATAGATGATAGATAGATAGATAGATAGATAGATAGATAGATAGATAGATAGATAGATAGATAGATAGATAGATAGATGATAGATAGATAGATATAGATAGATGATAGATAGATAGATAGATAGATAGATAGATAGATAGATAGATAGATAGATAGATAGATAGATAGATAGATAGATTAAAGGAATCTTAACAGCAATTCAAGTTTGGTTTCTGAAAACCACACGTTCCTTTGCGTCTTTCTGTGTATTATAAACCACTCTCCAGCGAAGGGTCCTTTAACTCTTCCAGCCAGGTGTTACAAAGTCAGAGGAAACTCAAAGCAAAAGTTTGTGGGGAAATGGGATGGTTATAGATGGTTATAGATATGTTCAAAAATAAAATAAAAGTTTTGACTCTGTGCTAGTATTTGAGTGATAAAGGAAGTAAAAGGAGGTGGATAACAATTAAGGATTTATTATGTTTTCAGAATGTATTGGAAAATTTATATAGAAAGGTGTATTGTTTTGTGTACATTCGATTGTAAGATAAAACATATGCGAAGGGACTTGACAGGAAGTCAAAATTGAAGAAAAGATTATGTAAGGTAAAAGGGGGGAAATATTTACTTTCCTTATTATCATTTGTGTGTGTGTGTGTGTGTTTGTATGGTATGTTTGGGAGGAAATAAGATGGTAAATAACAAATAAGAAACAAAAAAATCCAGCCGGGTGTTACAGTTTGCCTGTCTCTCGCCTTCCTCCCCGCAGGGAAGTGATCCAGATCGACCAGTTCCTGAAGGAGACGGCGGCCCGCGAGGCCAACGCCAAAGTCCGCCTCCAGCAGTTCATTGAGGAGCTCCTGGATCGGGCCGACCGAGCCGAGAAGCAGCTGCAGATCATCAGTAGCAGCTGTGGGACGACCCCCAACTGCAGCCTGGGGAGGTGCAGCGTGTCTGGGACCAAGAGCACAGGAAGACCGGTACCCGAAAGATGCCCGTTCTAAGCATATAGGAAACTGCTCTATACTGAGTCCGACACATCGGTCCCTCTAGCCTTAGTGTGACCTACACTGACCGGCAGCAGCGGCTCTCAGGCAGGGTTCTCTCCCAATCCTCCTTGGAGATCCTGGGGGTTGAACCCAGGACACCTTGACGTACGAGGCCGATGCTGCCCCACTGAGCCGCCCCTTAGCAAGGGGGCAATTCTGCCTAGCAAATGGCTCTGGAAGGCCCAATCGCCTTCTCAATCCAGCCCATGGACAGTCCAGGAATCAGCATGTTTTTACATGAGTAGAATGTGTCCTTTTATTTAAAATGCATCTCCGGGTTATTTGTGGGGCCTGCCTGGTGTTTTCACATGAGTAGAATGTGTGCTTTTATTTAAAATGCATCTCTGGGTTATTTGTGGGGCATAGGAATTCATTCATTCCCCCCCCCCAAAAAAAATATAGTCCGGCCCCCCACAAGGTCTGAGGGACAGTGGACCGGCCCCTGCTGAAAAAGTTTGCTGACCCCTGTTTTAGAGGCAGGAATCATGTATCGCCAGGGTCTCTTCTGTGATGCTCATGGGGGGTGAAATGGGGAGGTAGTTCTGCTCAAGCACTCTGTATCTCATCCATTGAGGGGGTGAAGGAGTCTTCTGATCCCCAGTTTCTTGTCTCCGCAGAGAGACAGGCACTCGGTTCCCGGAGCAACAGCACACAGTTCGTATGCGGTTTCCAACCAAAGATCATCTTCCAGCACCGGGTAAGGAATTGTTTGTTTGTTTCATAAAATTTAGACACTGCTTGACTGGGAAAACAAACAACCATTCTCAAAAATGATAAAGCAATAAAATTAACCGAGAAAAAATGAGAACAATAATTTAAGTGAAAATACAAACAGGCTATAAAAACAGATGAAAACTCGCATCAACTTTCAAAACGTCTGGGTAAAGGTAAAGGGTAAAGGGACCCCTGACCATTAGGTCCAGTTGTGGCCAACTCTGGGGTTGCGGCGCTCATCTCGCTTTATTGGCCGAGGGAGCCGGCGTACAGCTTCTGGGTCATGTGGCCAGCATGACTAAGCCGCTTCTGGCGAACCAGAGCAGCACACAGAAACACCGTTTACCTTCCCGCCAGAGTGGTACCTATTTATCTACTTGCACTTTGACATGCTTTCGACCTGCTAGGTTGGCAGGAGCAGGGACAGAGCAACGGGAGTTCACCCCGTCGCGGGGATTTGAACCGCCGACCTTCCAATCGGTGTGGCGATCACACAGGGTCCCTGGATGTTTCACCGTCTATTGATGCCTGTGCCACCACTTTATTTCTCTCTGCCACCGCCCAGGCCCTACCTGGTACAATACTGAGTCCAGTCAGGGTTAAATTGGAATATAAACTTCTGTTTATTTATTGCCGTTTAAGTGTGTGGTTTCATAAACGGTATTGGTCAATTACAATCATGGGGTGCCTATCCAGACCTATAATTTCCGCTACCTGCTCCCACTCACTAAACCATCTCTCAGATATTTGCTTGTCTTCCTAGCCCCTAACTGTTCCTGACTCAGCTTATTGCGCTACACTAACTCCACCTCCCCACAGACTCTATCCCAATTCACTCCCACTCCAACCAACCTCCCAGCTCCCAACAAACTCCTTCCCTTTGCCCCTCCCAGAGCTGGTTTTATAGTCCCTCTGACTCCACCCCCTGGGTTCTGATTGGGCAACCTGTTTAACTATTTCACCATCACTCTCATATGTTAACGTCAGAATCGGCAAGCCCTAGGCTCTGTGGTTTAGACCACAGTGCCACCCACGTCCCTTGTCTAAACGGGAGTGTTTTTAGCAGGTGCCGGGAAAAGTAACATGATGCTGCCTGCCTGATAACAATGGGCAGGGAGTTCCAAAATATAGTTCTTACAAATACAGAATAGGTATAACATACCCGTCAACCGGCCCGGAACAGAAATGGGCTGGTCTGGATGGCCTTTGGGTGCCCCTTCCTGCTAGCGCTTCCCTTCTGTGCTTCCAGAGCCTCTAGCCGTGCCAAAGCCGTCTCCCAGAGCTCCGGCTGCTACGACAGCGACAGCCCCGACCTGTACCAGGGGGACGAGAACGCCGACGGGCAGTCCTACCAGGGCGGGCAGAACCGAGGTTCGGACAGTGCTTTCGACAGGCCTGGTGGAGTGAGGGCTTCGGGTCTCCGCAGGCAGGCCATCCAGAACTGGCACCGCCGCCCTTACCGGAACAGCACCGAGGGCGAAGAAGGAGACATCTCTGACGTGGGCTCCAGGACCACTGAGTCGGAGGCCGAGATGTGGGAGACCGAGCCCCCGGCTGAGGCTCAGCAGGAGAATTTCTCCAGGTCCAGAAACAGCTCGAGGCTGCAGGGTGAGTCTCCTCTCCTGCAGAGAGCAGGACATAGTGGGTTTTATTCCATAAACCATGTTTATTACGATGTTTAAGGCAGCTTCTATTGGGTCAGAGCAACAGCGGCCATTGGGAACTCCAAAAAGCGAAGTCTGCGGTCCTAGAAATTCTGCTGCTATTGGCATCCATCTGTATCGAGAGAGCAGAGTTGAATTCCTGACGCCCAGAAACATATTTTTAAGCCCTGTTTCTGAAGAAACTTGCCAAAATTAAGTCTCCCTCCTTAAGACTCGCTGATGTTTAGAATGTTAATTTTCTTGTGTACTATTCTGTTCCAATAGATCGTCGACTATTGCTTTATTTGATATAAGTCATTCGTTTTAAAGTTATGTTGGATAATGACTTCCTGTATTGGATCAGATTGTTGTAAGACGTGTTGTATATGTTGTTGCTGCAAACCGCCTTGTGTATCATAATATACAAAGGTGGTAGAGAGGTACCTCGGTTTTCAGACATCTCCGTTGCCGAACTTTTTGGCTTTTGAATGCTGAAAACCCGGATGTAAATGCTTCCGTTTTCGAACGTGCCTTGAAAGTCGAACGGCTTCTGCTGTGTGTACCTGTTGTTTTTCCACAATTTTCTCTACTGAATTGGCAGGCCACTCGGCCTTGTAACATTTCGGAAGTCGAACGGTCTTCCGGAACGGATTACGTTCGAAAACCGAGGTACCACTGTACCTACAAATTAAAAAGTGAAATGAAATGGAAAATGAAAACAAAATAACACACCCTAATGTGCCCAGACAACTTTATGGATCTCTTATGTCACAGCCAGGTCTGAAGGAGGGAAGGCAGTCCGGCCGGAGAGAGGCAGCCCGGCTCGCTCAAACGAGGTCATCAGCCCCGAAATCCTCAAGATGCGAGCCGCTCTCTTCTGCATCTTCACGTACCTCGACACCAAGACGCTGCTGAGGGCAGCCGAGGTCTGCAAGGACTGGAAGTTTGTGGCCCGGCACCCTGCCGTGTGGACCCGGGTGCTCCTGGAGAATGCCAGGGTGTCGTCTAAGGTGAGTCTCGAGATTGCAGTGGCTTACTAGCTTTTGTTGGTTTTTTGTGTTGTTGTTTTTTTTAAAAAAAAATTATTTGATTTTACAAGCAAAAAGTTGTAACAATACCAAAGACATATCCATATATTTCTCTGAATCCCTCGACTTCCTTCCTTCCTCTCCATGGGTCCTATTGTCAACATTTTCAGCTGCGTATTATTACAGAATCCATATTTTGTATCTTTCCATATTAGTGTTGTTAAAATCCTGCTAATATTTTCATCTGCTTACAGTGGTCTCCCAAGGTAGATTATAAACTTTCCCCATTCTTTCTTGAAGTTATTGTCTTCTTGGTTCCCGAGCTTTCTAGTCAGTTTTGCCATTTCGGCATATTCTAACAGCTTAATTTGCCATTCCTCTCTGGTGGGGATTTTATCTTCTTTCCATCTTTAGGCTAGTACCATCCTTTTTTTTGCTTTGTTTTTTTTTAAAATTGAACTCTATGATCCAAATATTGCGCCCATTTTTTCATATGTGTATCCTGGTTCTGATCCAAGTTTAACCAGAGCTTATAGGATTTTGAAGTTATGCCTGTATCCAAATGGGAGATAATAAATAATAAAATGTAAAGAAATATACAATAATAAGAGTACATTCATTTGTAAAAAAAAAAAAAAAGAAAAAAAGAATATACACCGAGATTGAAAGGAAGTCTGTGGTGTTGGTACGAATATTATTTTGAAATGGCTTTATGTCTTTGTTTTTTCTTTGTTTTGTTTTTTTGTTTTTTCTTTCTTTAGGTACATAAATTTGGTATATAAGCTTTGTATACATGTTGGAAATTATATTATAATATGCTCTGTAATGTAATATGATATGATATGTGACATAAGAACGTTAAGAAAGAAAGAAAGAAAGAAAGAAAGAAAGAAAGAAAGAAAGAAAGAAAGCAGGTCAGGGCCTGGCCGGATGCGGATGAGTGGCGCTTGCCTGGCATTTAATGTCCCTTGTCCTTCCACAGTTCCTGGTCATGCTGTCACAGTGGTGCACCCAAACACACTCCCTCACCCTCCAGAACCTCAAGCCCCGTCAGAGGGGGAAGAAGGAGACCAAGGAGGACTACATGAAAAGCACACGGTGAGTCAGACCCTCCTGGCAAGTCGGTCAGGGAGATTGACAAGCCGGAAGGTGTGCAGAGGTGGGTGTCAGATGCTGGTGATGGTTGCTTGTGAGTAGCCAGGCAGGACTCCGACCTGTCCTTTACAGGTTTTATTGTGCAAACTATTTACAATGCAGATCCACAAAGTTCATGTCCGTCTTAGTCACTTGCAGAATCCGGGAGTGGCCCCTTCCGGTTTCTCCCCCAACATAAGAACTTCGACACCCCAAGCCTCCGCCTCCCTCCTTTTGTTTCACCCCTCTGCGCAAGCTGGGTGACGGAAGGGGCGTGCGTCCCTCCTGGCCAGCCTGGCTAGGTGAGGCGCTGGGGCTCTGAGCAGCATCCTCCAGCCCTTTCTTCACTTGGCTGGCCCCTTCCCCCTCTTCTCCACTGGAGGTGTGGCTTTCCCCACCACTGGAAGATGAATTGCTCCTCAGGAATTTCAGAGGCTCGCAGTGCGAAATCCGGAGAATCAAGAGGTTGCTTCCGGTGGCCTTCAGCAGCGACTCCAGGCCAGCTTCCAGGCAGCCCCTGCGAAGGAAAGGTCCAGATCATCAGAGTTGTAGAGTTGGAAGGGACCACGAGGGTCATCTAGACCAACCCCCTTTAATACATGACTCTTTTGCCCAATGTGGGGTTCGAACCCACAACCCTTTGCATCACAAAATACAGGGCAGTTTTATACATCTTTTATACATCTTTAACTGCCATGGCTTCCTTCAGTAAGCAACCAAACCAACCCCTGCGTTGCAAAGAGAACGCCAGCAATGTCTAGGCAACACAATGGCCATGTACCAACGCAATAAACCATCTTTTATAGAATTCCTTCAAACCCTAACAAGTCCAAAATGAAATCTATAGTCTTAAAGTCTCTGAAAATCTTTAAATGAAGCGAGGTACCAGATTTTGTATGATGAAAGGCAAGCTGTGAAGCTTTGTGTATTCAGCAAATATGATGTCCAACACTGAACAGTGATTCCGGATATTGACTACTGTTTTGTAGAATTCTTCGTCAGCGTGGTGGGAGGATATAGAATTGCTTCAAAAACCCACCTTATTTTGAATGAATGTATGTAAATGAAAATATCAAATGCTGTGGATCAGTGCTGATGTAATAATAATTGATATTTTCATTTACATACATTCATTCAAAATAAGATGGGCCTTTCATCGTACAAAGTCTGGTACCTTTTTTTTGGGCAAAAAAATAAATAAATGAGAGGCACAAATACAAGATGGGTGACACCTGGCTTGAGAGCAGTACATGTGAAAAGGATCTAGGAGTCTTGGTTGACCACAAACTTGACATGAGCCAACAGTGTGACGCGGCAGCTAAAAAAGCCAATGCAATTTTGGGCTGCATCAATAGGAGTATAGCATCTAGATCAAGGGAAGTAATAGTGCCACTGTATTCTGCTCTGGTCAGACCTCACCTGGAGTACTGTGTCCAGTTCTGGGCACCAGAGTTCAAGAAGGACACTGACAAACTGGAACGTGTCCAGAGGAGGGCAACCAAAATGGTCAAAGGCCTGGAAACGATGCCTTATGAGGAACGGCTAAGGGAGCTGGGCATGTTTAGCCTGGAGAAGAGGAGGTTAAGGGGTGATATGATAGCCGTGTTCAAATATATAAAAGGATGTCATATAGAGGAGGGAGAAAGGTTGTTTTCTGCTGCTCCAGAGAAGCGGACATGGAGCAATGGATCCAAACTACAAGAAAGAAGATTCCACCTAAACATTAGGAAGAACTTCCTTACAGTAAGAGCTGTTCGACAGTGGAATTTGCTGCCAAGGAGTGTGGTGGAGTCTCCTTCTTTGGAGGTCTTTAAGCAGAAGCTTGACAACCATATGTCAGGAGTGCTCTGATGGTGTTTTCCTGCTTGGCAGGGAGTTGGACTCGATGGCCCTTGTGGTCTATTCCAACTCTATGATTCTATGATTCTATGACCTCGCTTCATTTAAAGATTTCAGAGACTTTAAGACTATAGATTTCATTCTGGACTTTGTTAGGGTCTGAAGGAATTCTATAAAACATTGTTTATTGCGTATGTACATGGCCATCGTGTTGCCTAGACATTGCTGACGATGGCTTCCTTCAGAGCAGGGGTCAGCAAGGTTTATCTTGCCTGGGCCGGATCGGGTCCCGTGGAGATCCCCCCGTTGGCTGGATTGCGTGAGCGTCCACGATGTTTGGCGTCTGCGCGTGTGCAGACGCAATTTCTGGCGCCTCTGATGCTTCAGCGATGGTGGTGGCAGAGGGCCGCCACCGCCTTGACCTCAACCGCCACGTTTCCCCTTCCTCTGAGGCCTCTGTCTCCTTTCTCCATGAGCCTGGGCAGCTCCTGAGTTGTTGGTTCTTCGGTAGTGGTGGTGGGGAAGTGGTGCGCGGTGGATTCAGGCATGGAGGGCGGAGAAGGAGGGCTGAGAGCGGCAGCGAGGGTCAGGCAGCGCGATGCCTCCCTTCCCATTGGAGCAGCCCCAATTCCATTCCTACTCCTGTTTGCACACAAGCTCTGATAGGCAGCTTGAAGCCTCCCTTCCCAGCTGAGAGATCCCTGCCCCCTCCTGTTTGCACACAAGTAGGAGTTTGTAGGCTGCTCCAATAGGCAGCATGAAACCTCCCTTCCCAGCTTAGTTGCTGGGGTCAGGGAAGGTGGAGGCAGCCCGGAAGCTGCATCTTCGAGCCCCTGCACCACCATCATGTGGGGACTTCCCAGCAGCTCCTGAAGCCAGCCAGAGCCAACTGCTCCGGGATGCTGAGACTGCCACTGCTGCGTTTCCCGGGACATCAGATGAAATCCGGGGATGGAATTTGTCCAGGGACTTATTCGCAAACCCGGGGACTGTCCCCAGGAAATGAGACGTCTGGTAATCCTATACCCAGAGGTCTCAGGGCGGTTCACAGAAAAGATCACAATATATAAAATCAAAATAAGAATAACCCAATAACACTCCAGAGCAGGATGAAACAATCTTGCTCCATCTTCCATGCAACAGCCTTTGAGATATTTGAAGATGGCTCTCATGTATCCTATCAGGTCTCCTCTTTTCCAGGCTAAACATACCCGGCTCCTTCGACCGTTCCTCATAAGGCCTGTTTCCAGACCCCTGATTATCTTGGGTCGCCCTCCTCTGCACACCTTCCAGCTTGTCAACTTCCTTCTGAAATTGTGGTGCCCAGAACTGGACACAGTGATTCCAGGTGGGTCTGACCAAGGCAGAATAGAATGGTACATTCGTTCTCTTGACAAGGGTACTGACACTTCTGTTGATGCAGCCTAGAATAGATGTAGCTGTGTTTGTTGTTGGCCGCCTCACACTGTGACTCACGTTAAGCCTGATATTTGAAGATGCTCTCATAAGCTCCTCTCAGTCTCCTCCTCTTTTCCAGGCTAAACATACCCTGCTCCCTCGGACGTTCCTCATCAGGCTTGGTTTCCGGACCCTTGACGATATTGGTTCTGCCCACTGTCAGACGGGACTGCCATCGGAACAGGGGACGGGAGGCAGGGGGGCCGTTGGGATACAGA